GTCAGAGACCCCCAGTTCCCTAGCTGAGGTCCTAAGACTCTCTTCCCCAAGACTGTGCTCCTGGGCTTCCCTAATGTTTCTCTTGGTTGCTAGTGGTTTCATAAGCTACAGAGACTTGAGATAGGACTAAGGTAGGGATGTGATCCCCACTAAATCTACAGTTGTGTTTGGGTCAGAGAGCCCTATCGAGGCTCTGGGACTACTGCACGATGCCTGGATGACTTCTGACCAGTGTCTACCAGGCTGCAGCTCCCACTGAGTACCCAACTACACAGCTCCACCCACCACGCTCCTTTTCCCACTTCAACAGAGCAGGAAGTGGCTAGTCTGGGCACAGCCTGGACTTCCCTGGGAGGGAAGGTGTGCGCCACCTACTCTCAGCCCAGTTTTTGCCCCTTTCCTGGTTGAGAAGCCACAGGGCACATAGAATTTTCTAAACATGATAAAAGAACGAGACTTGTCTCTTGGTTGTAGCAAAGATCTTCTCACAGAGTCTTAGCAGCTAAAATCTCACCACCCCGTGACCAAGCCGAGAATTTCTACATTCCAGTCATCACTAAAAGAAAAATCTCCACAAGTTTCCAGACAGTTTCCTCCATTTTCTAATATCTAACGATCTGTGAAAACAAAGCTGCACCCTCTTAAGTAACCAAAGACCAAGGAAGAAACAATAAGGAGAACCAGAAACTATTTTGAGATGAATGAAAAACCACACACTATGCCTTGATGACCCAGCAACACCATACACAGGAAAACTTACAGCCATAAAACAGCCATTTTAATGAAAGATTAACCCCCCAATTTCATGTGGTTAGGAACTAAGAAGATGGGCAAAACAAATCTGTTCACACAGGAGAAAGGACAAAGCAGAGACAGGAAAAAAATAGAGATAGTGGATACTCCAAAGACTGGTTCTTTAGAACGCTCAACAAACTTAGCAAAAGTGTGCTACACTGAGGGGATGAAGAAAGCCAATACTGGCTTGGAGTCATGGCCAGAGCAGTCAGCCAGACGAGAGAAAAAGAACAACTCAGGCAGCCATGAGAGGAGTAATTTTGTTGCTAGGCACTAATGACACAATCATCGCATGCACACAACTCCTAGGAATTAACCCAAAACACTTGTGAAACTGCTAAGAGAACTAACTCATCAAAGCTACAGGAAACAAGACCCCCACACAAAACCAGTTGTATTTCTATAGGCAAGCATGGGGTGATTAGAAATGAAAATTAAGAAAATCTCAACTTATAATAACTTTTTAATTAAAAAAATTTTTTTGAGACAAGGTCTCACCTTGTCATCCATCCCTGCTGGCTTGGAATGCACTATGTAGCTCAAGCTGGTCTTGAACTTTTGATAGTCCCCCTGCTTTAGCCTCTTGAGTTCTGTTAGTACCAGCATGAGCTACAACACCCAGCTATAGTAATATTTAAAAGGAAAAATATACTTAAGAAAAAAATGTAAGCAAGGAGGCCCAAGATGTCTGTGTTGTGAACAACAGGGGATTCTGGGGGAAGTGGAAGATTTCCATGCATGGAAAGAGGCTGTGTCTGCAGAATTGAAACGTCAGCCCTGGAAAATGACAAGGCTTCCTTACAAGGTCTGCGGGCCGCACCAGTCCACACTGCAGGCTGAATCAAAAAGATCTGTCAGACTGCCTAAGGCCAGCACTCTTCATCTTTGGCCCAGGGTTATGTGCATGTGTAAGTGCCTGACATAACCCTTCATGGGGTTTTGGCCTTTGATAACTTGCCTCTGGGACATAAGCTCCATGTTTGCCTGGCCCCAGCCAGGATCCTGTTGGCAGCAGGGCTGGTCATGCCTTCTTCAAGATACCCCACTATTGAGGAAGAGACCTGAGCTGCTACTTTTCCACATACCTAGGGGCCATTCTGTGAAGGCTTGGTTGGCCATGCGTTTCTCAATGAGTCCTTTAGTCTTGTGTGTGTGTGTGTGTGTGTGTGTGTGTGTGTGTGTGTGTGTGTGGTCACATACACATCTAGAGAGTGAGAGGAGATGAGACCAGGTAAATCACTATCTAAAGTCACAGAATTCCCCCCTGAGAGTCTAGTCTTTTTTGTTGCCATGGAAACTACCAATCTTGATCATGGTTGAGGAGCAAATACTTGGTTTCAACCTTGGCAATGAGGCCTGCTCAGCTGCTCTCTTCTGGGCCTTGGTGGATCCTGCTCTCTCCTTGAAACAGCACTGACACACACACGTGGAGGCTCTAGGGAGTCAGAACCATCTGCTCTAGTGTTGTCACCCAGTGACACAGTCTGCAACATACCCAGCACTCATAAGAGGGTCTCAGGCTTACGCAATACTCATTGCCTAAGTCCTGTGAGTCTTCTGTGGCTGGATTTTTCTACCAGGTTTCTCTGAAGTGGGTGTGTCTCCATCAAGCTGAGCAGGGAGTGTATTTAGTTATAATACTGAGACTGCAGTGCTGCCTCAAGGATGGGAAGGTTGTTGGAAATGTGGAAAGTTCTTAATAGTATGTCCTGGGCTTTCCCAGAAGCCCCTGCAGGCAGCTCTTTCATTACCTATTCTTGGAACCTGCAGGATAGGCTGGCCACATGGCCTTTGCACATGGGAAACAGCTCACTAGCTGTACCCATGGGATTTGACTGTTCTGCCTGTGGTAGCCTAGGGCCCAGTAAGTACAGGTGTTCTTTCTAAAGAGCAATTGAGCAGGACATACAGCTGGTGGGCACTTTGGGGGTTCTTCTTTCCTGGGACTGTGCAATTCCTGGGACTCTAGAACTAATTTCAGTGAATGGTGATGAGAGTTTGGGGGCCAGGGATGGATGCAAATCCAGGGAGATACCCATTGTGGTATGCTGGGAAGAGACACCTGAGTGAGATATTGAATCAAGGAAGGCATGTTAGAGGCTTCTGGTCCAGAGATGGAGGGTGCATTAGCCAGTGTTCTCTGGACTAACAAAACCAATGGGATATACATCTATATGTATATATTTAAATTATTGTATTTGATAACAATATAAAAAGATTTGTTAGATTGGCTCCCATGATAGGGTCTGGGTAGTCCAACAATGGCTAACTGCTAGAGAGGCAGAGGATCCCCTAGCTGCTTAGCTCAAGAGGCCGGAAACCTTAGAACAAGAGGGACCAGCGATGCCTTGGTCAGAGGATGAGAACGTGGAAGCTCCCTAGAGAGTCACTGGTATGACTACACTCAAAGGCTGAAGAAGATGGAGTCTGTTGTCCATGGTCCATGGCAGCTCAAATAGATAGATGTACTCTCTCAGGAAGTGCAAGGCTTGTCATGCTGGGTGGTGTCCTCCTTATCTCATTGCATGCCATTTGGGCCCCAGTCTACTTGGATGCTGCTGCCCACATTCAAGGTGGACCTTTCCTTTTCATTGACTGCATCACATATCAGTCATCTCTGGAAATGTCCTCACAGACATATCAGATGTATTTTTCTGGTCCCAGGCATCTCTCCAGTCAGTAAAGTTAACAATGAAGATCAAGTATCAGAGGGCCCATCATAGAGTCTGAGATGAAAGGCTCCCTCCTTCCTTCTCTTTAGCCCCTGGTCTCTCTGAGAAGGGCCAGGTACAGCAATTCCCTTACCAGCCCCAGGCCAGGTCAGAAGTCAGCAGAGGGAAGCAGGCCTTTAGTGGAGAGTGAAGCAGACACGCCTCATAATCCCTGAACCTGCACCTCCAAATGACATTAACCCACTGAGAGTGTGACAGCATGTATCTACAGAGGCTAGGTACCTGTGTTCCCATGCTTATATAGAAGGCATGCACCTACGTATGTGTATACAAGATGTGCACTTACAGGTAGGTATGTATACCAAGTCCATAGCTAGTCATGGGGGAAGGGCCTGGGGAAGACATGAAGGGTCAGACATGCCAGTGACCAACGGCTGCTGGGGTCCTAGCATCATGGACCATTTCAGCACATCAGTTCCTGGTGGGCCAAGAAGGGTACTTGTGTAACCTCAGTGGCCTACAGGACAGGTGAGGCCTGCTTCATGTAGGGTGGCACTGATGCCCAGAACCTCCTAGGCAGGCTACTCTGAGTCTGGCTGTTATTGACTTTAGTGTTGGAGGTTTGGTGTTGAGCAAGTGACAAAGCCATGGGGCTCTTATTGCCGACTTCTGTCTATTATGGTTAGAGGCATGCTCCTGTCTAGAGCAGCATTAAACTGCTCCGCAGCACGGCTCTTTTCTAAGGGAGTGAGAAGACTCCCGCCTTTTCCTAGATGGGCTAGTCCTACGGCTTCTCTGTTTCAGACCCTGGAAAGAGGGAAGCAATCGTCCCGCTGCCTTAGCCCTTGAGGATTGTTTGCATGGTCCTGGCATACATGGTTCCAAGTAGTGGAGGGTACTGGACATAGCTTGAACAGGGCCTCTTAACCCACAGGGTCCCAAATGGCCAGTGCACAGTGGCTATGAAATTAGTACTAGAATGTGCAAAGGTTTTCTACTTGTTAAAAGCAGGTGCCTTAGTATCAGTGAGACCAGGAAGTAAACCAAAGCCACAGATGCCCAGTCACCATGTGTGGTTACACCAGGGGCATGGAGGGCTGTCTACCAAGTAACTGGGCAGCTCAGTGTACCACATAGTATAGGAACACAAGCCCTCAGACCAGCCAAACTCCAGCCAGAGATATCATGGGCAGTACCCTGCCCTTCAAGTTGTTCCAGCCCTACCTGTCTCTAATAGCTTTACCCTCCTAGCTAGACCCATCTTACCTCAGGACTTTGCTCTGCTATCCCATGCTACTCTTGGTCACCATATTCCTCACAGCACCCCCCAATTCCTGCCCCCAGACTCTCCCCCCACTTACTGTGCCACCTCCTAGCTCTGTCCAGCTCTCAGGTCACTTATGTAGGCCAGATCATCTCCAGCCTGGAGTCTGGTGAGGAAGGTTTACAGGACATATGACAGGTAGGTATGTCCATGGTCAATGGGTTCTTTGGGCTCAGGTGGTGGAGGGGCCCATGAATATTCTTGGATACCTGAGCAAGGGCTGCTTGGGGTACGGTGGCTGGTCTGCACTTGGGCATGGCAAGGCCTTCTTGGTCACCTGTTTGTAGATGTTCCTGGCAGTCACTCCGATCCACAGCATTGTAGAGAGCGTAGAATAATGCAGTGCAATGCCCACCTGGGAGGGGAGAATGTCAGCCAGCCACCTCCTCCAGTCACCTGCCCCAGCACAGCACAGCAGACTCCTTGTGTGCAGCCCCAACTTTTTTTCTGCTGTGAGTGGACTGAACCCTGGAAGCTACTCTGCAACTCTTTAGGGACAATAGAAAAATGAGACCAACAGGAAGACAGGTAGGTGATGTGTCAAGGACAGCCACCACTTTTAAACTGTTCAGCTATTTGCTGTGTGTGTGAACCTGTGGGAAGCTTGTGGTTTTGCATCCTGGTCCCCCCTCTGCAGGGTGTCTATGCCTTCCTTATTGTGGGACCTGGTATACACACCTACCTGTGAACTCTGGACCCGCTCTGGGGCCCCTAAGTGGAAGGCAGGCACAGTTGCACAGCAGGACTCCCAACACATATTCACTGTGGCATTGAATTGAAGGAATGGCACCTCATGGCTGAGGCTCTGATAACCCGCCCTTGCACGTCAGAGTGACTCATTGCTATGGAAACAGCCGCTGGAGCCAGTCCCATCTAGCACTTTTACGCTAGCTAATTACGCATTCTGCACTGCTTCATCTCCATCTGATTCCATAAAATAAGGCTACCTTTGAGGTAATAACCTGACATTTTGAAATGACAAGTAAAATATTGCTATAATCGGAAAGGACATAAATGTTTAAGGAATATGGAGATTTCCTGAATAAAGCTAACATTGCACCATTATAATGATTTATCAAATCCAGAGTTCAGTTTTTACTTATGAGCAAATGCTATAATAATTGATGAGGATTTGGGGCTGGGTGTGGGGTAGAAAGATTGAAGAGCTGTTTATGGTTTCAGATGGCTTCATGGGTAAGTGCAGCATGTCCTGCGAGTTCAGCTTTCCCTTGGTCTGGCTGGTGCTCAGGTGAGGACATCCCGGCCACACTGAGCTCATCCCTCCTGGATGAGAGTAGGACTGTCCTGGACCTGGGTGGCAAGAGCTGTCTGCCATCTAAGAGTTCAGGACAAGGGCACCCAGAAGAGGGACAGGCAGTCATGGCTTGAAGGAAGGTCTTTTGTGTGGCTATCATTGTCATATACAAACAGAAATGTCAGACTCATCCTCAGAAGGGCTCCTGACTTTTGGCCTTGGGACATTGGCCCAGGGCCTTGAGGTGGGTGGAAGCTGGGCTGGGAGGAAAGAGGAAGAGGAGGCCTGGCTGCTTCCTTCCTTAAGCTGAGTGTCATCCAGGCTGTATGATCAAGGAGTGGGAGAAAGTGTACAAAGGGCAGGCTCTGTCTCTTAAACACCAACTTGAGGCAGAACACACAGGGAGGTCAAGGGAGAAGCCGCTTGGCTTCCAGACAGCATGTGCTATTGAAAGGAAGAAGCAGGCAGGACACCCTCCCTTGCTTCCGGACCCCGGGCCAGCACTGACGCACATTCATTATGCGGGACTAACAGCGGCCGTCTGCTTTGTTTATGATGTCACTTAGTACTTTAATGAGACTCACGGTCATCTTTCTGTTGCTATGACAACTGTCTGTTCTTGCCAGCCATCCAGAGCTCTGGACCACTTTTCTTGGTTGTTCGGTAGTGATGCTGAGCTTGGATGGGGAGGGGCGGGGACTCCCGTACTCAGTCACCTGGTTGCCAGTCAAAGTGGGGACGCATCTAGCTCTCAGTGATCTAGCTTTTAGCCTGCTCCTCTCAGGTATCTCTCTCTTAGCAGGTGAGGGAGCAAATGTGCTGGGTGAGCTGGGTCAGCTCTTGATCTACCAGGCTGCTGATTAAAAGCAGCCTGGCCTCTGGCTCAGAGAGGCCTCAGCAGCAATAGACAATCCCACTTCTGCTTATAGGCATGGGGGACTAAATGTCCTGATGTGGAGGAGATTGTCACCCAGAGTGCTTTGTGGGAACTGGGGTTCCCCTGTTAGCCCTTGTTTACCTTCATTTTCCCCACTTCCCTATTACCCTCGCAGCAGTTCCGTCTCCAAAATCTCACTGACATGTGGCTTTTCCCCCCTTTCCTTAGTTTGTTGTCCACAGCTTCCCCCAACATAGCCTGGCTGATGTGTTTCTACTGGCCCTGCATCCCTAACACTGCCTGTGCCTGGAAGGAAGGTGTGTTGCCAAGTGAGGGATGGATAGAGGCCGGACACTCCAGGAAAAGCCCACAGAAGACCAGACAGGTCTGCTTTCTGCAGCCCATCCTATTCTAGCACATGGGGACTGGTCCATCGTCTGGAGTCCCAGCATTGTTACTAAGGACTTCTCGCCCGAGCATGACCCTTAAAGATCTTAGCTCGGAGGATATTTCCAGGCCCACTTGTCCCCACCCACCAAACCTCTTCCAGCTCCTGCACCAGTAGAATTCTGGAATACCACAGATGCCTGCCTCCCCGGGACTTCATGGGGGCAGTGCTGGACTTCATGGAGGCACTAAGATGATTGCAATGGACTATGTGGCCAGCAGGCCCCAGCTGTGCAGCACTTGATGGCAGAGTAAAGACATAAAGATAATGACCCGCTCAATTGCCTTTTTGATGACTTCTGGACAGGCTTTTATAACAGGAGTAAGTGGGATTTCCTAGCCCTCACTGTGGCTGATTCCAGATTAACAGAGGCTGCGCTGGAGGAAGCTGTCTTCTCTCCATTCTGTTCAGGCATGTGGTACTGCCTCTTTCGCTTGTCTGGTCTAGGCCTGGATAGTTGTCTGGCTTCCCAGGGTTGAATGTGTCACATAGTCACACATTTGGTTCCCAGAGGAGGAGAGCATGGGTTGTATCTTTCAAGTGTGAGTGTCATGCTCACAGAACACTCTTCTCCTCAAGAGGCATCAGTGTAGTGAAACAAAGCAGCAGCAGCTGAGTCAGTTGAAGCCTGCCTGAGCTAGGTGGGCCTGGGTGGGAATCAGGTAGGTAGCGGGGTGTGTCCTCTTAGCTAGACTGTTTTGGGAGCAGCCTTTAACTCACTGATCAGAAGGCTCAGCATCACTTTCAGCTAGCTACCCATGTAGGATTATAGGTCACAGGAAGGGCAGAGGAAGCAGTTAGTGTGGCCATTGTCATTAATGTGGGTTACATGGTCTTCAGGTATTGGCTGCAGGTCATTTCTGCAGCAGCCAATTGCTATTGACTGAATTTGCAACAGTTAGGGCGAGCTAACTGTTCAGAAAAGATGTTAACAATGCAATGACAGAAACCACCAAGGTCTTTGGTAAGTTGCTCTGGGTCCCTGCCTGGCCTCACTCATGGAGCCTAGGTGTAGCAGGTCTGGGGGCAGGACAAACACAGACTCCCTGTAGGAGGTGCAGATGGCTCTCTTCCTTGGCCCAGAGCCACAACCCAATAGGACAGTCCTGGGCTTTACTTTGAAAGGAGGCTCTCTAGTGTCACCGTAGGGTAGAGGTTAGGGTTAGAGGGTTAGGGTTAGGGTTAGGGTAGGGGTAGGGTTAGGGTTAGGGTTAGGGTTAGGGTTAGGGGTAGGGGTGGGGGTGGGGTGGGGGGGGGGGGTGGGGTGGGGGGGTGGGAGAGACCAGGTCATTTCTGTTTCCTGGTTTGAGCCAGTCAAACCAGGCCACATGTGTGAAGATGATGTGCCTTGTGATTTGAGCTGTTCTTTTCCATGTTGGGTGTTCAAAGCTCCCTTTTTCATAAGAGAGAGCAGAGATGCCTGGGGATGCTCTCTGCCTGGTTCATGTGGGGATAGAGCCTTTGCTGCCACTGGTACCTACGGCTGGCAGATCTGCTGACAATGTGAGATCAGCACCTAGAAGGTCTCACTCAGCCCACCCCTGGGTCCTGCCTCACTGGTCTTCAGGAATGACATCATGTCCCCATTCTTGTGAAGATCACCATTTGCTGGACAGTATTTGTCTATGGCCCACTAGCCCTTAGACAAATTGCTGTAGTGAAACATAAAAATTGTCTCATATGGCCAATCGTTGAGCAAAACAACCTGCTTGAGATGGAGTGGGATTATATTACGGACCCACTATAGAGCCTCACTCTTCCCTTCAGGAGCAACAGCTGAACGAGCACTAAGGTATTATTTTATAATCAAATTAGCATTCATTTCCACTTGGATAAGAAAGCTGGCATGCACACTTTCGTTTTTTTAGCACAGGGAAGGCAGCACTCACCGCTTGGCATAGGATGGGGTGTTTGGTGCGATTGATACCACCAGCAAACACAGTGAAGGTCAGAGCCGCATGGAAGCAGAAGTTGAGGAGCGCGTGCCTGCCTTTCCGGCTGATCCGGATGGCACTGTGGGAAACAGAGATTTCACATTAAAAACCATTGGTTCAGAGAAGAGCCTGGAAAAACCACACTGTGTCCATGGTGGGAACAGTAGGCCCTCAGCAGGACTGGGAGCAACCCATCCAAAGGACCAGAACATGGGAAAAGTAGACAACTGGACCTTGTCCACCTCAGCAGGTTCTCACTGGTGCAATGCTTGGAAGGGCTTCTGTAGCGTTTCTGTCCCTCTGCCCATTTGATAGACTGACTTGTCTAGGGTCTCAGAGGGGGAAGTCATGCTCCCGATGCCCAGAGTAGCTTTGTCTCTGAGCAGATGTCTGATGCACAGAGAGGGCTGGACTATGTGCCTAAAAGTATGATTGCCTTTGGTTGTGATAACCATGGACACTAACATGTTTAAAGCTCTACGTAGCCGGCTAGGGCAGGGCCGGTAGCAATGTTGAGCAATCAGCTTTTGACTTTGACTCCATCATGGCTGTGTACACATCTAAGTCCTCCTACAGCTCCTGTGGTCTGAGCATGCTTCTCAAGATCCCGGTTGGAACTTAACTGCCAGCATGGCAGCATTAGAGAATGGTTGTTGGGGCAGAGTTCTCGTGAATAGATTTAGTGCCCTTATCAAAGAGACCCCTAAGGGATGCCCTTCTCTTTATACCACTGGAGGACTCAGAGAGAGAGAGAGAGAGAGAGAGAGAGAGAGAGAGAGAGAGATTGAACCAGACATGGGTTCTCATCAGACACCAAACCAGCTCAGTACCCTCATCCAGCTCAGTACCCTCACTCTTGGCTTCCAATATCTAGAACTATGAAAAAAACAATTTCTGTTTTATCCATTGTTAACAACCAGCCACCTGTGGTAACTTGTTAGAGCTGCCAAAATAGACTAAGAACAGTTTTGGAGATATCCAAACCTTTCCCACAACAGGGGCCTTGTCATACCAAGCCTCCGCTTGTAACTGGCTGTGAACCAGGCCTAGGCATTACTCATAATTTTGGTTATGGGTTTGACAGTGGCTATGGCTGAGATCCCCACCTTCTATGCCCTAGGGCATCTTCTAGGGATTCAGACACCCAGCAGTCACACACATCCCCAAAGGCAGCTGGAAGTGAACTCAGAAGTGGGTCTCTGTCTAGAAGGCCCTTCTTAAGTAAGAATGCACAGTAGAGAGACTTCAAGGTTCTGCAAACCTGACCATGCTTCTTAGGATGCTGGAGCCAATATGCTTCCATTTCACAGTTTTACAAGAACACAGAGGGCCAGGCAGTGGTGGTGGTGCACACCTTTAGTCCCAGCACTCGGGAGGTATAGGCAGGGGGATCTCTGTGAGTTTGAGGCCAGCCTGGTCTACAGAGTGAGTTCCAGGACAGCAGGGGCTGTTTCACAGAGGAACTCTGTCTTGAAACCTGCCCCCCCCAAAAAAAAATGAAAAGAAGGTCCAGTGGGGGCAAAAGAGATAGCTCAGCACTTAAGAGCACTTGCTGTTTTTCAGTAGATTCAGGTTTTGTTTTCAGCAATCATATGATGGCTTATAACCATTCTTAACTCCAGTTCTAGGGATCAGGCGCCCTCTACTGGCCTCCTTGGGCATCACACACACATATACACACACAGAACACATACATACATGTAGGCAGAACACTCACACACATAAAATAAAAATAAATTAACAATATAAAAAGAAGGCCAGAGGCCCAGGATGGAAGGGTTGAGTTTTCTCCAGTACTGTGCCCTAGTGGCTGCTGTTCCAGGTAGGGTGAGGTGGGCTCCCTTACCTCTGATGCAGGATGTAGGTGATGACAGAGGCAAGGAGGCACAGGAGCATGACCGCAGTGCAGGCATACACCACGGGGTGCAGGAACTCCCCTGGGTACTGGGGCAGGGAGAGGACAGTCTTCAAATCCTGGAAAGGAAGCAGAGACTCAAGTGACCGATATGGCCAGAATTCTTTATGTGATTGGTCAGGTGTCTCAGGAGGAGGGGTCGGGCTGGCAGCTGAGAAGAACTCTGCTCAGGGCTACTCATGCAGAGTGTAGGGTCTAGTATCCCAGGAGCCCACCTGGGATTAGTGTCCTCCTGGGGATGCTCAGCTGAGAGCATCTTCCCATGACTCAGAGCAACTCCCAGAGGTACCACACCTGCCTCTAGCCTTCTTTCTATCCATGTCATTGGTGGAGGGCAGGCAGGCACCAGCTTCCACTGCATGTGTGTCTGCTGCCTCCAGAGGAGCTCTAGAACATTTAGCCTCCCCAGCCCACTTCTGCGCTCCACACTCTTTGATAGTATGCTTTTACGTAGCGCCCTGGGGAGTTCCACACCACATTTCTGCAGCGCTAAGACAGTGACATTGACCTAGGCAGACAGAGAAAGAGAAGTTGTGAGCAATAGGTATGGCCTCAGGGCCTTTTCTACCTTCACCCACTTTACTGCATATCAAAACTGAAGTAAAGGGTTCAAGGCCACAGTTCAGATGAAAGCATGGCTTTCCTGTGGTAAGGAAACACAGAGGAATGGATGTCTGGGATGGAAATGCTTGGAAATCCTTGGGGTTTAGGGTGAGTGTCCTTGCCACTAGGGTCAAGAGGGTCTTTACTTTGACCTTGAAGAGACACCTGGTCACTAGGCAACCAGAACCAGTACTCACAGTGTCTTCATACCCTTCACACTTCAGGGCCATAGCTGGTGCAGGGCAGAAGTGTGAGGGGTAGTTGTGGACATGGGTAGCACACGGACAACTCTCTAGAAGATATGGGGTGGAATACCATGTAACCAGTGTCCCTCCAAGATTATGACTTCTTAATGAGATATTGGTGTTGTGGAATGTTTGTTTAAACCAGGCAAAGATGTGTTAACACTTGTTCATATTGCATTTGTTAACTACGTAAAGATGTGTTGCATTTGTGTTAATTAAATAAAATTAACCTGGGCTCAGAGAGGTGGGGTTAGCCACTGGTTGACAGGGAAGAGCTTAGTGTGTGTGTGAGTGTGTGTGTGTGTGTGTGTGTGTGTGTGTGTGTG